TCTGTCTCATTAATAGTCTTGCCCTTTTTTGCTGACCCTCTACTTTACCAAGTATGATATCCTTATCCAGGGATTGGTCCCTTTTGACAACATGGTCAAAGTACATGAGATGAAATCTGGCCATTCTAACTTCTGAGGAACATTCCAACTGTACTTCTTCCGGGACAGATTTGTTTACTCCTTCAGATTTGTTTGTTCTTCAGGCAGTCCATGGCATTTTTAGTATTCTTCACCAACACCACAATTCCAAGGTATCACCTCTTTTTCAGTCTTCCTTATTCATTGTCCAGCTTTCACGTGCATATGAGGCAGTTGAAAATACCATAGCTTAAATTAGACACAACTTACCACGTTTTTGGTTCTTAACGCTTTAAAGAGGTCTTACGCAGCAGATTTGCCTGATGCAATACAAGGTATATTTAGACTGTTGCTTCCATGAGTGTTGATTGTGGATCCAAGTAAAATGAAATACTTGACAACTTCAGTCATTGCTTTTTGTCTCAGGATGTTGCTTATTGGTCCAGTTATGAGGATTTTTGTTTTCTTTATATTGAGATATAATCCATAATAAAGGCTGTAATCTTTGGTCTTCACAAGTAAGTGCTTTAAGTCCTCTTAAAGCAAGCAGATATCGCAGATTATTAATGAGTCTTCTTTTTTTGTGTATACAGTATTTCACAGATTATTAATGAGTCTTCTTCCAATCCTGATGTTAGTAGGAGACTCTGTTTATTCTTGGTTGACAGTTCATGCATCTGAATTTCTTTGCCTCTTGATTATTTCAGTTTTTTCCCAATCTGTTGCTAGCCAGAAGGGTGGCAGTTCAAACCCACCACCCACTCCTTGAAAGGAAGGTTGGGCAATCTACTTCCATAATGATACCGCTTTGGAAACCCAAGGAGTATTTGCTATGAGTCGGATCTGACTCGATGGCAGTGTGTGTTTTTTTTTGGTTTAGTTTAGCTTAGATGCCTCAGGAGATAGAGTAGCATTACATTTTGATTAAATATAAGCTTTTACAGAAGGCTGCTAAAGATTGTT